AAGGCTGTCGTTGAGAGTCCTCATAAAATGTATAATCATTCTAAAGGGACAAGTAAGTAGCAAATATATATTATGATGAAGCATTCAAGGATAGACAAGAAAAAATGAATCACTATTAGAAATTTCCCAAACCAAATCTATACTGTAATATCCATGAACAAATAGCTTTCACTAAGCATAAAAGTAACCTGAGATTATAGTGCTAATCCAGGGACTTTTTTTAATTGAGAATTTTACTTAAATAAGACAACAACTTAGTTTCTAAATATCTTCCAAAAACATTCCTGCTGCTTTCTCAAATACAGAAACTGCTGCATTTCCTGCAAACTGCTTTCCTAATTTTGTTCAAGAATATCAACTTCATTAAAATTTTAAAGACTTAATCCTGAGTTATGGCTTCATGAGGTCTCTGTGGGATGAAAGAAATCAAGACATCAGAGAACCTGCTATTTTAAAGTGTTCTTACAATGGAAACTAATTTGTTGATGAAATGCACTGCTGTAGAGAAAATAGAATTTAAAAAAACATGAAACATCAGTTTAAACCTTAGGGTGGGTTTCTGAAAAGAAAAGTTTGGGGTTTTTTTCATTTTATTTTGTTTATTTTAACAAATCTCAAGCCAAATTATCACTTGATATGATTAATTTCTTATTTCAGAGATGTGTCATTCTTTTTAAAGAGATAATAAAAAAAAATTCTTGCTATAAATGTAAAATCTCTCCTGTCAGGTGAATTATTTTTGATCTATATATTGACTCAAAATATTTCAATTTATAAAAATCTAATTATATTCCATAGTTAAGCATTCTTTCTCCTTTCTGTTATTTTTCTTCTTAATATTCGATTTTCTGTGATGTTTTCTTCCTCTATGTGAAAGGATAGGTTTAATAGTAAAATGTCAAGTGAGTATTCTGCTAAATTCTACATGTCTACCAAAACAAGTTGGAAGAACACCGAAATATTATAAATAACTATATTCTTATGACAGCAGAAACAAAGACTCAGAAAAAAAAGACAATGAAAATCAACATAATCCAGTAAAACTACAATCATTTCTCTGATTTATTTTACCACAGATATAGTTATACCACATGTACATAAACACAATACATAAATTATAAAAAATATCTAATGCACTTAAAGTGAGGGATTTTTCCTAATTGGTGATGTTGTGTAATGTTCATTTAAGAGAATGAACTAAATTGTAAAGAAAAAGAATTTAAAAAACCACAGTCACTTCAAATATACAGATTTAGTCTCACCTAGTTACTCTAAGCCTTCTAGAGAAGCTCTCGTTTGAAAAATGAGAGTGACACTGGATGACCTCTGAGGATGATGGCCACCCAGACATTTTGGGATTCTATAAATACCTTTCCCTTCTTAATCATGAATACTTTCCACTACCTGCAGTAACTTCTGAGTCAAAACACAAACCTTCCAAAGTCAGATATCTTTACATGTGCTTCACTTCAAAATAAAGCTAGTGTTAGAAACAAATAACCCATGTAAGTCATGTTAACCCATGTAACAAATTAAGTGGCCTCAACATTTAAATATTCTTGCAAATATTCTAGCAAGCCTGGCTTATACAGGCATATCACACATAAAGAATGACCACAACAATGCCTCTTTCTTTATTAGAAAGTGAACAAGCAGAAATGTTCTAAAGGCTTTTTCATGGCTCAGTGAACTCAGTTAACTTGCCAGTTCAGACTCAAACATTTCACTTCTAGAGCTATTGCCCACCTAGTGCTTATGGAGCTAACTCATCCTGTGCTGCTTATAAGACTTCACGATAGAAGTAACTTTGATAATGCGTGATAGCTATAGTTGTTTCAGAACTGCAATTGCCTTTCTTAGCTTATGCCTTTCTCTACTATGAGTTACCTTGTCTCCTCTATATTATGTCTATTCTAATTATAACAAATATAGATGATGATAGTAAAACCAATGATTTTAAAAAACCTACAAAGTTATTTCCACCCTTGACAGAGGACGTCTACCTCTTTTTCACACTATTTCTTTCTGTGTTGTATTGTAAAAAAGGCAGGGGGAAAAATCAACTGAATCTAGTTCTAGTCCCAATTTTGGCATAATCTAGCTACCTAGCTGTGTGAACTCAGTAAACCACAGACTGGCTATGACACTAGGATTCCTCATCTACAAAGTCAGATTTTGCTGCATAATCCCAGGGTGCACCATTTCATTGTGCTCTAGGGCTGCATTCACAAAGCATCTGATGTACACTGTGGTTCTAGAACTATGTGACACAAGGTCCTGCCTTTCTAGTTCCTAAATTATCATTTTGTGTTTCTGTGTTTTTTAAATCTGGGCCCTATACGATGATAATTTCTGTATCTTTCTGTGGCTGTAAAGTTTCAGCACTCCATGTATGAACACTTGGTGAACTAAGAAAAGAGATTGAGAGACACTCATTGTGTCAACCCTGAAATCAAAAACACAACCATGGTCTTTCCCATTAAATACTTGGTTTAGCCTCCCTACCTCAGCCAAACTCTCCTAGAAAGTCTGACCAGTCTCAATGACAGAATTTCAGGGTGGAAATTCTTCATCAGGGCAAGTTATTCCATTTCATTACCTTATATCTGTGACTCAGTTTGTAGGTCACAAGGCTATGACTTAGAAAGGCTAGTGGTTTCAAGAATAACTGAAATATTAAGTGACTATAACATCAAAGTGCTTATAAAATAGATTCCCTCAAGTAGTTTTTCTTTTTTGGTGTTTAACAACTTCCTCCCAATCCACTAAAGAATCTGCTGTGGAATTGAGATGTAGAAGGTGCTATCTCTCTATAAATAGGATCATCCTATGCTATGTGAATCATGGTTGCTGAAAGCAAGTCAACAGATTAATTATTTGGCTTTGTTAATAATGATAATAGCACACTATCATCTCCCAAAAAGCTTTTCCACACCCCGCTCCCATTCTTCTAAGGTGAGCTTTAGAACAAACTAAAATCTTGGTGTACAAATATATTCCTGTTGTCCTTGCACTGGGAGTGTTTTACAATTCCTGCCATCTCTCTGCCAGATTGTTGCTGTCACACTTTAGCTAAAGGAAGTCACCAGTCAGGATCCTACCTGTCAAGACGAACACTAAGTAGGTGAAAAAGAAAAGCGGGTTAAATAAACACTGAGGAAAGCAGTAAATTCAGAACTTCCTTATTTTCTAATAAGATACTGTAAGAATTGACCATAGGAAGCAACGCACAGTCCTTCCTTCCCCTACAAAATTAAGCCATGCAAATTGTTCATCCACAAATCAACTTCCATATAGATCAAGTGAATTTTTCTTATCCATTCACAAGCACAATCCACTTATCATTCTTATTACCTTGTTTTTCACTGAGGAGGCTGAGTAGGACCAACTCATAAATGTCATGTAATTATCCCAACAAGAATGTAACAGCATTATTTCTGAGACAGAGATATTAGAGTAGCATAGAGTTCAGAGCCTTAAAGTTCTTGTAGACCACATGAGCCCTAAGAAAAGGCTTCCAAAAGAATCTTGCATGACACACTAAGGGATTTTATCATCTTCTAATATGAATTATTTAATATGCAAGGATAAGTCTTTTGAATAAATCTTCACTTTATAAAATGCACAGGGTATATTAATTGGATGTAAAATAACAAAGACTTTAGTAGCTACTGCCTTGGAATCATAATTATTTTTGTTTACACCTGAAATTTACTACTTTATTCCCATCACAGAATAAGAAAATGAGCCTAGGAATGGAGTGACTAATGTCATGGAAACCTAAAGTAAAATAAAACAAGATGACTTCTTCCCAAGGTTTAATCCCAGATTCCTAAACTAATTCTGAGCCACATTTGAACATAGCCAGTATTTTTCATTCCTGGAACCCAAGAGAACACCAGAGAGTTCCAAGGAGGCTCAGCTAACCTAATCAGTTGATCACAGAGCAGGTTCCATTTCCAGCCAGTGTTTCTTTCCACTTGTCCACCCTAAGGGTAGAGTGTCTGCAGATTGTAATTGAAATCTGCAGCCACACCCAGGGGATCAGTGGTCTCATGGAAGACCAGGTCTTCAAAATTTGCTTCCATTCCTTCAAGCTGGGACACTGGCCCAGCATGAGCTGGGAAACCTCACCCTGATATTCAAGGTATCCAATTTCTCTTTGTAAAAGGAGACATATCAAAGAGCAATCATTTGAGCCTAGGGTTGCTGAAGAAAGTGAGCTTGAGAAAGGTTTTACCATGGAAATCTCTGATAAAGCTGAAGTTTTCCTTACATTCTCTAGGCCAAACTGTGGATGCTATCTTGTTCACTAATGTCTCCAAAGTGTGAAAGTGCAGAGGATGGTAATAGGACAGAATAGTTAATAAGCAGAGCCCTTGGAAACCAGTACAATGATTGGAAGAAGAGAATAAGAAAAGGAAGACTATGAAAAAGGAAGTACAATGGGGATGTGAGAAAATGGGAGGTGAGAAATTGATTGGGATGTTTGAAAGATTTAACACCATGTGTTGCTGGAGGAATCGTAAGAAAATGAGAATAGATTTAAGTTCATCTGATGTCTACTAAATTATCTACTGTGTGTTGTTATTTATCCTTAGGTTATTTATCCAGTGGACAGTATAAGTACTCTATAGGTAGATGGATGGATAGATATAAGAGTAACAATGAATGAATGAATGAACAAACGAATGAATGATATGATCATTGACCTCAAGAACTCTACAGGTTTTGGGGGACCAGATGCATCTCTACATGTGACTCTCATCCTAGACAAACTGTGGATAGAAGAAAGCAGGAAGTGTTTTCCTGAATATGGGACAAGCAGCTACTAATTGGTGAAAGATAGTTAAAAAGATGTCGGGGAAATACAGAAGATGGGCCAAAATGGAAAAAAAGGGGGATCCTGGTTCCCTCCCAGGAGCAATCCCCAAGTGCTTTAAAAAAGAGGAGAATGGATGTTGGCCTCTAGGGAGCCCACTGTCCGGGCTTCTACTGACCTGGTCTCCGCCTCACAGGCCTCTTGCGACCGCTGCAGAAACGCACTTTGCTGAACACCCCGAGGACGTGCCTCTCGCATAGGGAGCGCCCGTCTTTGCTGGGGCTGGAGCGACGCTTGGAGGCCGACACCCGGTCGCTGTTGGATTCCCTTGCCTGCCGCTTCTGCCGGATCAAGGAGCTGGCTATCGCCGCAGCCATAGCTGCTCAACGTGGGCCCCAGGCCCCAGGCTCCACTGAGCCCTTGAGATCGAACTCCGCCGGAGTGAGGGCAGTGGCCCTCAGTGGCCGAGAGGGATAGGGCAGGAGCTGTGAGGCAGTGCTAATATTTGAGGAGGTTGCAGTACTGAAAACCTGGCGCCCACAAGATTCCTCAGTGTCTGGGCAGTGGCAACAAAATGTGTGAAAATCCAGATGTAAACTTCCCCAACCGCTGGCAGCGGGGGCGGGGCGGTCCCAGGCCTTCCTGCAAAGTAGACGTTTGCACCCCAAACTTGCACCCCTAGGCGATCCACGCCCAAGGGGCAATGAGGAGTTTGGTCCCACTGCGTTCAGGATACCAAGTGGAAGGGGGGAAAAGATTGTCCAAAATAACAAGCCGTGCCCCTATTGGAAAGGAGCAAGCGTTGTAAGGTGTCCAAAGTATATCTACACATACATGTATAGAAAATCCGTTTACAAAGCAGAGTCTGGACCAAGGCGAGTAGCGTGCCCCCGGTTAAAATTATATATATACATATATATACTTAAAAGTGAATAAAATGTTCCTTTAGAAAACGAGCCACCAACCGCAAGAGAGCAGGAAAGGAAGGCAGCAATTTAACTCCCTGCGGCCCGCAGTTCTGGAGATTAGGAGGTCCGTCCCGGCTGGGTGAGGTCTACGGAATGCATCCCACCGGCTGCGGTTCTCCAGGGGCCGGCCGCCGGAGTTCTGGAATTCCGAGAGGCGCAAAGTGGGAGCGGTTAACCAGAGTCTGGGTAGGGGCGCGGGGCGGGGGCAGATGTTTCCAGCTGCGGTGAGCGCGACTCTCCTCCAGCAGCACTGCAAAGAAAGCGGGAGGCGAGGGAGGGGGAGGGAGAGCAGGAGGGAGGGAGGGAGATCCTCGAGGGCCAAGCACCCTCTGGAGGAACCCGCTAGAGGCGATCCGCGGGGTCCCAAGAGCGGGCGCTCTTTCTCTTTCCGCTTGCCTTCCGGCACGAGACGGGCACAGTTGGTGATTATTTAGGGAATCCTAAATCTGGAATGACTCAGTAGATTAAATAAGCCCCCTTAAAAGGCAGCGATGCCGATGGTGTCCTCTCCAGCTCGGCGCCCACACGCCGTTAAGTGGTGCTCCCCGCCATGGTCCGCCTGGGGCCGCCGCACCAAGCCGGTCTCCGCACAGGCTCCGAGGGAGCAAGGGAGGGAGGGAAGGAGGGGGTGCCCTGGCGGATTCGGCATCAGGTCATCGCCGCGCTGCCCGGGCCCCCAGACTCGCGCGCCCCGGCAGTAGGCAGCTCACAGGCGCAGATCAGATGGGGATTACCCGGCCGACGCGAGGCCGATCACTCAGTCCCTCGCCGCCCATCCCGGCCGAGGAAGGAAGTGACCAGCGCGCAGCGAACACCCGCGCGTCTGCTCGGGTGGGGCGGGGGCTGGCTGTGGGCGACGTAGGCTGACTCGCGCTGGCTGCGACTCTGGACCAGACCTGCCCACCATGGTCTGGCGCCCTGGGCGCAGGTGGGGGTCCCTAGGCCGCCCCAAGCGACGGCGGGAGGCTGCTGAGAGAGCACCCTGGCCCTAAGGACCGGACGTGGACTCCGGGACCGAGGTCAAGAGGCAGGTGGTGGCTGCTGCCAACTCGCCCAACTTGCTGCGCGAGTGGCCGCTCAGAGCCGAGGTCTTGCCTGGTGCCCCCAGTCGCCTCCTCCCCAAGCCCAGGAGGGGGCGCTCAGGGCGGAGTCCCATTCACGGGTTGAGGCTCCTGGCGCGCCGAGCCTCTCAGGCTGCTGGGCACTGCTGCTGGCTCTCTCAGCTGGGGCACTAGCTCGGCAGAAAACTCCAAGCAGAGACGACAGCCACCGAGACGGCGGGTGGGACAGGCAGGCTGCAGCCCCCTGCAGATAGCAGCCAGGTGGGGCCGGGCTAGGGGCCCGGCTCCCAACAGCGCCTGGAAGGGAGCTGGGGTCTGGCTCCCTTTCCCCGCGCCCTCTGCTCCCAGACACTCTTCTTCTTTCCTCCCTTCACCCCTCTCCCCCCTCTCTGTCTTCTGTCTCTCCCCTTTTCTCCTCTCTACGCAATCCTACGTGATTGAGGTTTGGATGAGAAATTCTCAGAGGCAGAGCGAGGGAACTGCAGCTTGGGTTTGCTGTGTCCAGTCCCTCCCCCAAGAGAAAAACATCTACTGGAAGGTTGAAGGACCCTGGTGCACAAAGAAAGGGTTAAAGGTAAGGGAGCCAAGAAAATGCTGTCAGCCCTCTCTCCAAGCAGAAGCAAGTAGCATCCTGTTTAGGAAGGACGGAAGGAAGTGGACACTGGTGAAAGTAGCAATGGCCTTTTATGTTGGCCCCACCTTCAGCTCATTTTGGAACAATAAAAAGTGTTTCCACCTCCTTGGAACCCATATTTCTTTGTACTGTCTGGAAAGCTACTAAGCAGACTCAGTCTCTGAGAAGAACCAAGTAAGTGACCTGGACTGAGGTGAAATAGAGGTGGGGTGAGAGAGTGATGTGGGCAAGGGCAGTCACAACCAGCCTTGGAGTGCAGTCATGTCTCCAGAACTGCTTTTGATAACAGCTGATGTTGGAGGAGCAGAGGAGTTGTGCAAGTTAAAATGCAGCATGAGATATTTTGGAAATATGAAAGGAGTAATCACCTTTCAATTCAAGCAAAGGTCTGGGAGTGGCCATTAGTTACATTTATAATTTCTCCACTCTCTTCAAATGTCCCTAATCTCTCTTTCCAGACACTTCTCTAAGCATCAAAGGTACTGCCAAAAGATTAAGTGATTTCCAGAGACAAAAGTATACTGGAAACATCCTAAGAGAAGTCAAGGAAAATATGGCCCTTGGAGGCTACTGAAAACAGGACATGGGCCCCAGAGGGTCCACAGGAACATCTATATGTGGCACAAACCTGAGGGCTTAGCCAAGATTTATTTGGGCAATGAGAGAGATTAGGCAATGAGGTGGTCCAGACTAAGCACTGAGTCTAATAACCCCTCACTGTCTAGGGCCTGGAGGCCTGGGGCTTCCAAGCCTCCAACTGCACAAAGCAGATATGGGCAGACAGGGGCTAATGGGACAGACAACTTGGAGAATTAAACAGTCAATACATCTGAGAGAGGGCAGTCCCAACTGAGTAGCCCTTGTCCCCTGCAGCAGTTCAAGTGTGGCTAAATGAGGATGATGGATTCATTCTTGGAATTCTAGCAATCCAGAAGACAGGTGAGAAAAGTGCACATGCCCTCTTGGTCCAAAAGTGAAACTGAATACATTTTCAAGCATGCATCTGGATGAAGCAAGAGGGATGGCTTAAAATCTGTTGGTAATACTATCAATTAGGAAAATGTTCACATTCCACAAATGAAATTCTTTTCTTTCCTTGGCTACAGGAAGACTTGTCTCATTCTTGAATAAGGAAGACAACACAGTACTGGCTGGCTTGAAGGAGGTCCTGCCTTTTACAAGTCAACACCTGAACAGAAAAGGTCAGCTAAGGGGAGTAGGGAGAGACAGAAGCAAGGAGGTGTATAATGAGGCCTTGAGGAAATCATTGTTGAACTCAGGATCTCTTATTTGTCCTCAAAATGAGGATAATCATTCCTTTCTACCTCACAGAATTGAATATGCGTATGTAAGCATTTTGAAAACTGGAAAATGCCAAATGAGTGAAAGAAATGATGACAGTGTTATTACTTTTTTAAGGAAAAATGCATGAAATTCACCTAAGATGTTTGTTGAAAGGCAGATACCTGATGGTCTGCCAAAAGGTGAAGGAGAAATCTCTATGGTTGGAGCTGATGAATCTGAATCCTTAGCAAGTTCTCCAGATGTCAGAATTTGAGAGTTTAATATATGCATGCAATGTAGATAGTACTAGAAGGAAGAAGAAAATTCAGACTCAAAATCTGGAACATTCCCAGAAAATTGCAGCCCCATGCCCTAAAATAAAAAATTTTAAAAGGCCTGGAAAGAGGATAATGTGTTCTTAAATCTTTGGGTGTTGCTGACTTTTTTCCTATAGGCTTGTGAGAAGTCAGGCTGTTTTGATACAGAAGGAACCAAAAGAGGCAAAGGAGAGAAGTAGTTGACAAGGGGAGAGATGAAAAAGCAGGTAACAGTTGCTATTTGAAGTTCTCTTCTCTGTCTTGACATGGCAATATCAAGATAGGCATTTAAAGAACAAAACAAAACATTCAGTGTCAGCTTTTTGAGATGGACATTATTTCTATCTTTAGATCTCTATTAAAAGAATGTGGTGTTTTAGATTCGATGAGACAACAAAGACTTGACTTTTCCCCCTTGCACTTCTGCTATTGTCAAAATGCTGTTTGGCCCCTAAATCAGCAGCAGTAGCAGTCACTCCATTTTCCCCTGTGGGAAGACTAGATAAGTATATAGAAATTTAAGAAATTGTGTAAAACCTAAATACATGACTGATGAACTCAGAAACAATATGTAAATTAAGTTTTTAAGAAATAATTCACAGTTTCCTACCTGGGTCACTAAATTTTCCTCCATTAGCTATCAGGATATTTCTAATAGCTTTACATCTACTGATTAATCTACTGATTATTAATCTACTGATGATTTAAGATAAGCAAACAAGTATTTTAAAGGTTCATGTCTCAGAGATATCACTACTTTGATTTTTATGCTATCTTTCATCGAGCAAGTGAAGAATTCCCTCTTCCAATTACAAAGACATCATGAATGGAAAAAAGTTTTAATTACTTTGGAGAAAGTTGCCAGGTATGCCAAAAAGATACTTCAGAATTATATTTCTCACCTTCCATAAAATAAATAAAGCATGAACAATCTTAAATATACTTATTTTAAAAGAAAAATACAGAGAACATTTCATTGTCTTTGGCTTCTTCATAGGCCAGGTCTTCCAACTCCAAATCCAAATATTGTGAATGTTTCACACATCTAATTTAAGCATTGTACTGGGCACACACTGAATCCAGGGTTCTGGGTCAGTTATCAAGGGGAATTCTATATGCCTTTACATTCTTCTTGCCCTCACAAAATTATAGCTCATTGTCTTTTTTTTTAATCACCCACTATCAATATGCTACTGGAGTAGTCAATATTGTTAAATCAGAAAAACAAAAGAGACAAATGATAATGATGCTAGCAAAATCTACCTAAACTGGACTCTTATAACACTCAAAGAATTTGTGACGTAATATAATGTGTG